AGGGGGGGAGCTCTGCCCAGCCACAAGCCAGGCTGATGGCTGCCAGTACAGCGGTGGTGGTGGGAGCCTCTCCTGCCTCCTTAGCAGTGCTACGGATGTCCGACTGCAGTTTAGGCCTGCTCCCTTCCCCGCTGGCAAGTGGACATCCCCCGAGGGCTGCCGGGCTGCCGGTGGGATGTCTGATTTCCAGCTTAGGCCTAATCCCCCAGGGAGCGGGCCTAAGCTAGCAGGTGGTCATGCCCTGAGGGGTCCCAGACTGCGAGAGGGCACAGGCTGGGCTGAGGGACCCCCCCCCCCAAGTGCACAAATTTTTGTGCACCAGGCCTCTAGTAAAGAAATAAGTTGAGTTCTGCCAGACAGTACTAACACAGTGAAAGTAAGACATGCCATATGAGTTCTGAAAATAATTTTTCAGCATGGATCCCCTGCATGGAGGAAAAAAGAAAAGGTGTTTATATTGACATATAATGTCATTTGTTAACATTCTAACAGTCAAGGCCTTTTATACATCAAACAACATAGCACAAAACATATCATTCCCAAACTCTAGTAAGGAGAAAGAAAATTTAACAAAACCATATCCACATGGTGATGCTAATACATATTTTCAAAAATTGTCATATTAGGTAGACCCAAAATGGTAGGGATATGAAGAATTTGAATAACATAATTAGGTGTGATTTTCTTTACAGATTCATAAATAAGCAAATTTGAACCTAATAACGAAACAAACAAAATGTATAAAACCTATGTAATATTTTAAAGTACAGTGCTGTGGTTCACACTAGCTTTCAAGTTATAATATAACTTATAACTTAGATTTAGTTGGAAAAATTAAGAATAAATTAGAAACAGTGCTCAAAGATTTCATAATTACAAAGATGGATGACAAATCAGACCTCAGAGGAAAATCAGTAAACAACCATAATAATATTATACATTCATAAGTATGGGTTGTAGAAAATTCATAGTCTTAATTTTTTAATTCTAAAATCAATAGATCAGTGACAGCTAATCAGAATCACGGTGGTGTGTGTGTGTGTGTGTGTGTGTGTGTGTGTGTGTGTGTGTATATATGTATATGTTTGGTGGGGTTGGTTGAAAGGTGAGGGAAATTGAACAGATTGATTCTAAAGAATAAAATAATGACAAAAAGTACTCTAAAACTAAAATACTTATTAGTGACTAGAGGCCTGGTGCATGAAATTAGTGCATGGGGGGGAGGGGGAAGAGTTGTCCCTCAGCCCTGCTTGCACCCTCTTCAATCTTGGACCCCTTGGGGGATGTCTGACTACCGGTTTAGGGATCAGTTCTGAACTGGCAGTCAGACATCCCTCTCACAATCCAGGGCCACTGGCTCCTAACCACTCACCTGCCTGCCTGCCTAATGCCCCCAACAGCCCTCCCCTGCCAGCCTGGTTGCCCCCAACTGCCCTCCACTACAGGCCTGGACACTCCCAACTGCCCTCCCCTGCAGGCCTGGTCGTCCACAACTGCCCTCTTCTGCAGGCCTGGTCGCCCCCAACTGCCCTCCCCTGCCAGCCGGATCTCGCCCCCAGCTGCTTCTGTCTCGGCCCCCACCACCATGACTTTGTCCGGAAGGAAGTAGGACATCCGGAAGATGGCCGGTTGACGTGGTCTAATTAGCATATTATCCTTTTATACCTTACACCAAACAGCTGTTGCCCTTCAACCCCTCCTCAGCCCCCACCTTAGGTTCTGCCTTCGCAGTTCACCCAGATTAGGTTCTGATTGGTCAGCTCCTATGCCAGTCAGTGTCAAAAGCGCTGCCTCCTAGACAGCTATTGGCTCCTCATACTTCACCCAGACTTGGTTCTGATTGGTCGGTTTCTATACCCGTCAGTATCAAAAGCTCTGCCCCCTAGACAGCCATTGGCTCTTCTGGGAAATCCAGAACGGCCCCACTGACAGCTGTCTCTCTTTCCGGGCCTATCTCTGGGCCTGATCCGCAGCCTCTGCAGCAGCTGCAGATCAGGCCCTTGCCTCTCTTGCCAGCCCACCTTGCACCCTCCCGCCCACCTGCTGGCCACCAGCCTTGCCAAGATAGGAGCCTGTGGGCCACAGGGGAGGGACTGAGAGGTGCTCCATGCACTTCCTTGTGACCATTTGTTTGTTCATTTTGGTTGTTATGGCCATTGGCTTTTTATTATATAGATGATAGAAATAGACCTGCTGTGTAGATGTATGCTAAGAGTGGCATTTCAAAAATAGTGGTAAGGGATGGTTTCTTTAATGTTTAAAACAATTAATTGGCCATTCAATTTAAAAAGTTAGATTTCTTTTTTTCTCACCATACAGTAAAATAAATCCCAGTTGATTCTGAAATTAAACCTAAAAAAGTACCAAAACATTTTAAGATAAAATATGTGAAAATCTTTTTGTTCACTTTGGAGGAAGAATGCTGTGCAAGCATGAAGAAGCCAATGTCCTTAGATAATAAATGCATGGTAGATTATTTGTGTATGAGTGTGTGCATTTGAATACTTCTCTATAGCAATAACCAAACCATGAGTCAGTTTCAAAGTAAATGCTACATGGGGGCAGTATTTCCTAGTGTGATCCCTGGGTAGAGAACACTCTTTGTTGTTAGAATCTTGATATCATAGAAATTTCTGGAAAACAGAATGACTTCAGACATAAACTACATCTGTTAATGCTTAAGAGAGTTTGAGATAGGACATGATGCTGTAAGCAATAAAGATAGGTAGGTCAGTGCTAGTGAGGGCATTGGTGATTAGCCCAGAACTTTTCAATCACTAAGGGGTAGCAGCAGCATGGACTTTTAATGTGGTATTTATTCCTTTGAGAATCTCAGGGTCCATTCTAATCCATTCCTCACCCATAAGCCCTATGTATTCATGAGAGCATGCCAGAGATAATGACAATCAGTCACCTAAACAGAAGTAGTACTATACATATGCTTGTTGCCTGGGATTCCCAATTACAAATAGAATTATTATTTTTTTTCTGAGGAGAGTTTTCCAAGTAAATTTAAAAAGCATAGGGTCTTTTTTCAAATGTTTTCTTTTCAAAATGCGACCCCATATTTTTGCCTTTGTTTCTCTCTTGCTCTGGATGGAGTACCATTTTGGGTTGTGAAAGGCTTTCTATTAAAATTTTAATTTAGCAAACTGGCTTCCAGGGCCTCTCCCACTCTTGATACCATGTGATGACTAACCATTAAATTAATTTAAGTCTTGAAATTCTCTGCTATTATTTAAACTGTCATGTTATTGTAAGCACCTTGAGAACATTTATGTTTTAAAGTTCAATTAGTTTGTTGACTGATTTTTCACCATGATCCATAACTGATTTAGTCTGAGAAATTAATAAAAGCACTAAGGTTGATGATTAGGGTAATTGCATAATAGTAGCTAATAGATATTTTGCATTTTTGTGATATAAATTTCCAATTACATTGTTGAAATACTATATTAATTAATGAGAGTGGGGAATCAGAAACTCTGGTTTTAGGTTACCGAATTCAGAATGGGACAAAATGCTGAATTACTCAGCGAAGTCTCAAGGTCACTTGTTCCACGTCATGAACAAACTCTTTGCCTTTGCAAAGTTCATTCACTTGATATAGGACACTCTTATGTGAATGTCTAACTTGGATAAGATATATTAGAGCTCTCCAGATAAACAAAACCAATAGGATATGTATATATAAAGAAAGATATTTAATCTAATGAATTGGCTTGTGTAATTGTGGATGCCAGCAAGGCTCAAG